TGGCAAAGAAGACTCACGTACCAAGTATTTTCCCTTTGTCTTCTCCAGTCTAGTGCCAGCTGCCCCAATACAAGATAGAGGAGAGAGAAGGAAAACGGTGGTGAATAGCCCACAAAGAGAAGGAAAACACTGGTGGATAGCCCCCAGAGAGAAGGAAAACGCTGGTGGATAGCCCACAGCCACGACTGACTGCAATGCAGAAAGTCCAGCAGGAGCAGGTCAGTGTCCCCTGAGTGATGTCAGTCCCTGCAATGGTGGTTCTTGCCATCATTTTGCTGTCCTGAGATGGATGTTGCTCTCAGGGCAGAGCTGCTTAGCAGAAGCAGCACATGGTCAGCAAGCAGGATTATGCCTTCACATAACAATTTGTTGGCTTGCTGTTAAAAATAAAATGCATTCCAGTCATGAAAAGGTACTTCAAAAGGATAACAGTATGCTTATAGGAGCCATTACCTGTGCTCCAGCTCTAGTGGTTATAGTAGCCACCTGTCAGGCAGTGCAAATGCTGCACCCAGCTGTAAGCATCATGAACCTTCACGGAGGGCAGTCATCATCATATTTACATGTACTTTTGTCTTCCTGTGATTAAAATGCATGTGCCTGGAGAAACGCAGTCCAAAGAAAGCATAGGGCTACGTTTATGGAAGGCCATTTTAGACAATGCAATCTCACATCAGTGCAAAATACTGTAGAGCAGATTAAGTTATGAGGTCTGAAGACGTATTGACAAACAAGACCAAACACAAGACTGACAGTCAAAGGTCTGGTGTTCTTTTGCCAGCTTTGCTTGCCACCTGCTACCTGCTGTGGGGAAAGTCATTTTTTCATTCACTCTGGTCTTTCTCAACAAATAAATCATTTGGAGGAAGGAGAGGCAATTACTAGACATATGGGCAGTGGTACAGGAGGGACTTAGTTTGAGAACACCTTTACAGGAGTACAAATAAAATATTTGCCCAGGTACAAATAAAATGTTTGCCTTGCCTCCAGCAGGAGGTAAAGGCAGAAATTGTGGAAAAGCTGAACAAATGAAAAAAAGTACAAAATCCCTTGGAGGCTGAGAAATCATTCCTCATGGAGCACCAAGGTGTAATTAGGAAAGGGAAAACACCAGCTGAGCATTACAAAGCTCTTTATGCCAGCAAGATGTGTTGTGCCATTCAGGAGTTGCCCAGGGGAGAGTAATGGAAATTTCATACCAGCCAGCAGAATAAAGCTTTAAAACTGCCCTGTAGGCAGCAATGCAGCATGAACTGGCAGTTCTGTCTGCCTTTTCACTCCCATCTTGAGAATTAGCTCCTTTCCTGTTTGAAATGCCACTTAATGTTAAGCCAGTGAGTTGGCCAAGAGATCAGTTCATTTTTCTTTCTGTTTGTTTTTAACAGCAAAAGAACTGTGTTGTCCAATGGTTTTCTCTTTACTATTATTTACAGGAAGAGGTCAGCCACTTTTAGCCTTGGGGAAGCATTTTGAATTCTCATAGTTACTGTAAAGCCTGGTTGTTGCAGAACATTGGGCCTAATTCATTTCTTGCGTATGTGGCAGAAGTCTGGCACTTCTTCCATTCTCTCTAGACTAACTCATCGATGCATCCCAGTTAGACACACTCCCTTCTTAGGACATTCGTGGTCATGTGCAAGTCCTGTGCTCTTTGCCATTTAAGATTTTAATACTTAATACTAATCTTCCATAATTCAAATAAAAATGTTGTCTAATGTTTTGTACTCCACTCAGCCTATCCATTTTTCAAGAGAATTTTTGAGGATCTCAGATACCCTGCAGTGAATGAAGATTTCACTTAAACGTTTGATGAAGTATGTATTCATGTTGTTTGAAAAACGTGGCTGCTTTTCCAGGAATGCATGGGTATGTTGCTTTTTGTTAGTTGTGTATGTGTGTGTAAAGAAGACCGGGCCTTCACTGAAATGCTAGGTATGATTTTGTTCCAGGTTCAAAAGACTCAAAACTAGATAGAAGTCCTACAGAAAGCAGCTGAAGTAAGTAGTAGACACCTGATTTCAATAGTTTTTTTAAAAATGCATATACAGAGTGACAATTCATTACTATGAATGCAGCTGTAATCTTTCACGGAAAATCACTGTGAGGTAAAGTGTTCTCAAGCACCAAAAAATGTACATTCTACCTGTATTTTCCTTTCTAAATTGGAAATGGTATTTTGCTCATATGAAATTCTCTATACTGTCAATGATAGAGAAGCTAAAAAACAAAGTCCAGTCAATACCTTGAAATTTTCACTGCTTAGAATCTGCTGCTACCTGGAAAGGACACACTTCTGACATTAATAGGGTTTAAGCACAAAACGATCCCGACTTGAGGCCATTTACATTTTAAATAGAGGTATTCTTTTAAAATGCTCATTAAATGATCACAAGTTACAGTGAGCCTTTCGCACAAATTCTTAAGCTATTTGCAAATATCTTTATCACACACTGTAAAGAAGAACGTGAAATGTCAAAGTACTTTAGGGGCTACAGGCTGATGCTAATTGGTATAAATCCATCATTAACTTCACTTGGGTGTGCCAGTTTACCCCAGCTAAAATTCAGGCCAGTAGCAGAAATACACCCAGGCTCCACTATTGCCCAATCAGTGCCACTTTTCAGCATTGTACAGGCATGTCATTCCATACTCAGACCTGTGGGATGCAATGAATCTGACTTACTATGAATCCATCGGTGCAGGAAAGTACTACTCATGATAAATAGCCACTTGGAAAATTGGCCCTTAAAATGTGTATCAGCTTTGTTCAAAGAGGCGACCTCCATGTGGAGGACGGAGAAAGGATGGTGACATTTCTAAGTGGGGAAGCCTGCTGAGAGATGGTATGTGTGAGAGCGAGGAAATCACGCAAAGATGAAGCAAAGATGCTTAAATGATAATTGCTTTCCATACATTTAGAATCTGACAGAGGAGATTCCAATGAATTGATCCAACTGTGTCAAGAGTTACATGGTGTCTGGATATCGGTACAAGACTGTAATTAACTGCTTTCTTTCAGAGAACAAATCATGCAGGAATTTAAGGGTGAAATTTGTGATGATGTCAGTATGTGGAAACTTTATAGTGATGCTGCTTTTGTGGCATCCTGAAAAATCCCAACTTACAGAAATGCTTTACTGATCATTGCAGGTCCTTTCTTTGCTCATTGTGATCCCTGAAAAAGCAGATGATAAAGTTCTTAAAAAGGGATGCTACTAGCACAGTGATCTTTATCACACTTCTTGTCAGCTCTCTTACCAGTTTGGTAACTGACAGATTGTGTTGAAATATAGTTCTGTAGTAACACTGCTTTTTCCGTTTCTCAGTCCTTTTATAGGAACCTTGTCACCTAAGAAAACTTCTCTGAAATAAGATGGAGTCCAATTTGTAAGTATCATATCTATTCCGAAACTCCCTGACTTAATGTAATTATTACCTTGGGCCAGCAGTCTGAACATGAAAATATGGTAGACTATCATATTCTGCACTATCTTCTGTAATGAATCTTTTTGTATCGATAGCCCCATATAAAATGGAGAAACTAGGAAACTAGGGATACTTGAGTCATCAACTATTAAACTGCACTTAGCTAATGCATTCCTTAGACAGCAAGATAGGCTTATCACTTCTGCAGTAAATTGTAGTAAATTATCTGCTTTTCTGACGATGGAGTAAGGGTAAAGCAGACCAAGAAGGTTTTGTTTGTTTGTTTGTTTGTTTCATTGTTTTATTTGTTTTGCTTTAAATGGCAAATTTTTGCCATTTTTTGCCGCTATTTTTGAACAGCTTGTTCAGATAGGACAATTTTCTATCTCAGGAAAATTTCTAAAGTAGGAATTTAGGGGTGGTGGTATCCCTCAAATATCAGATTATGGGATAGAAGCCAGGCCAGGACAAGGCCTTGCCCTGTGCAGCAGCAGAGCACACACATGTCAGCAGGATGCATGAAAGGAATAAAAACATGCAGTGGGAATAAGTAGATGACCGTGTAGGTAACTAAAGGAACTTGATGTACAAATAATGGCCCGGGCTGCCAGGCTGCGATGAAGCCCAGGACAGATGGGGCAAGGAGGTTTAGCACCTCTGACCTTGAAGCTGTTGGTGCAGGTCAAGGTCTCCGAGTGAGGTGCATTCCTGTGGCCTGTGCTGGAACTTAATCAACCATTTCAGCCCCTAGTACGGAGGTTCCCTGGCACCAAGGTTCTTGTGCCAAGGATCACCTCAGAATTGCCTCTAGATGGGAGATTAGAAAGGGCATCATGTTTCTGGCCATTGACCCTTGGTTTATGTGCAGGGTGCACTCACAGGCACATGACAGCCCCGCAACGCTACCTGCACAGAGCTGCCATGGCAGGGTGGACCCCGCTCGCATCCGAGGCCCACACGATCGCTCCTGGTGCCGATGAATTCAGGGCAAACAGGAGCCAGTGCTGGCAACGCTGTGCAATCAGTCATGGGAATCCGTGGCCTTGGGAAGTCCCCAGCGCATGTGCCACGCTTGGATTCCTTTCAACGGGCAGGTAATTTTATGGCCACGAATGACATTTGTGGTGATGTTTGCCAAAGCGAGGGCAGAGCACGTGTTCCCAGGGGGCAGCCAACAGCCCCGGGGCTGGGGGAGGAATTGGTCCTCCCACCTCCCCCACCGTTGCGCTGGGCACCCGGTGCCCGACACCCCCGAGGCCTGGCCTGGGCAGCGCCACCCGGC